TTTTAGCAATTGTGCAAGAAATACCAGTATTTGCCACCTTTGTTTAGTCTCTTCTTTTTCAATTCTCCTTTCATCATTTCTTTATCATCTTTGGATACTCTGCCAACTCTTTACTGCCCACAACTTTTGTCTTGCTTACTAAGGCACTCTCTATAGGTCATTGCTAATGAGGTTGGCTCTACTCCATCAAGTATTTACTGAGTATCTAGCATGCACTGAGCATGGCCTGGGGAATATAGCAAAAAAATAATGTGGATCATTTTCCTTCCTCAAAAGAGTTTATGATGTCAAAGATGTGTTGCTTCCTGAAGACGCCATTAACTTTGTCTTTTCCCGGGAAGCGTAAAACGCCACATGTTGGATGAGATGATTAGCAGTGCTCAGACCTGGGAAATAGTCATGCTTCTGGACCAAGAGCCAGGTAAGTCCTTGATTCTGGTCAGTAGTAGGCCAAAGTCTCAGGTGGGGTTTCCTAACTTTACAAATCTGGTTACCTGCCGTTCTCTGGAAGCCTGAGAATTCCCTATCCCTGCAGTATCCCTATAAATATGCCTTACAGAAATTCCTTCTTTCTGGCAAAGAAGCACTCTGCATTCTGGAGCAAGTATTAATATATCTTCCAAAGGGAGGACTCATAAAACTCAGGAAAGATCAGTACCATGGGTGAGGGATTTCTGACCAGGCCTACTATGTGGGAAAGATGGATGAAGGTAATAAACTCTGTGTCGGGAAAAATGTTTTGAGCTGCCCTTGAGTTCATGAAGTGGACCAAATACCTAATATATATGTGGAACTTTTTCTTTTAGTGTCAAAATATGAAACTGTCTAAGTCACGGGAAGCCAAATTATTATAGCCATATTCTGAAACAGCAAGCAGCCACTCCTAACCATTATATGGATCTCCAGAATCAATTATGTGGATTCCCTTGAGATACTCCACCCAGAGGGAAAACATGTCTAGACACATAATTTTGCAAATAACCTTGAAGATGTTCATAGGTCACCTCTCTTCCCATATGAAGAAGTAACACTGCTCTATGTGGTAGCTTCAGAGAAAATAACCTGAACGGTGTAATCTAATCCATATGAAAGATTTCTTCCCCTCTGGAGCAAAATATAAGCTCTTTTGTAAACCTTGTTCTGCCACAAAGACTGCAATGAAAGCCTACTCAGCAAAGTCTCGGCAGATAGTTTTTAGTTCAGAGTCTCTGTGAGATTATTCTAAATGTAAAACAACTGTCAGCTACTATGGTTAGTCATTTACTTTTTCATTATCCTAATGTGTTTGAGTTGTGAAAAATAAAAACAGTCATGTTAATACAAACCTACACACTGAAGAATAGATAGAGATAGATATAGGTGCTCAGGAAGAAGCAGTAGATGGTAATAGATTAGAAAGCATGCTTTGGAAATAGAAGACATTTTTATTTAGTACTTTCCTCACTTGACAGGCAAAACTTTGGCAGTTTTGCAGAATTTTGATAGAATAAGTCTATGCTGTTTTAGTTAAAAATGGAAATGAAAATACATTTTGTCTATGTGGAAGCAATTTTTTTGGTATAATTATCATTAGTTTTCAAGCTTAGCAGGCTAGGCTGTGCTATGTGGAAGTTTTTTGAGAGGATGGTATGTTCTGGGCAGCGTGCTGGGATCTTTACATCTGTTGACACTAAGCCACAGTTTACTCACTTGTACAATGACAGTGACACTAGGGTCCCTACAGTGCTATTTTGAAGGATGGAAGAACCAGCAAAGAAGTCTAATTCTTGTTGTTTTCAATCAGTTGTTTTTAAGTTGTCTATCATTTATGCTTAGAGAGACCTTTGCGGTATATCTGAATTCTGTATTCCTCTGTGTTCACTATGATTTGTATCCCTTTAATCCAGGAACTAGAAACAAGGCTAGGAATCTGGGACCAATTCCTTGATAGAGAAAAAGGATTCTTGGCATTTTACACAACTAGATGGCCTAAATTAAACAATTTCTTGATTTTGCTAGACTCAAAACTCTTGCCATGGCCTGTAAGCGTCTGTGTGATCTGGCCCTGCCGACTCCCCGACTGTCCCGTCCCCTATCTCTTCATGTTTCAGCCACACTGCCTGCTTTCTGAGTTCCCCCCATAAGGCAAGCTTCTTCCCATCTTAGGACCTTGGTTACTTTTCCCTTGATTCTTTGCTTGGCTGATTCTTTCCCATCATTTAATTTACCTGTTCGAACGTCATCTATTAGCAGAGACATACTGGGGCCAGTGTCTGTGTAAAGTAGCACCTTCTATTCAGTAATGTCTCACCTTACTGTGTTTCCTTCATGAAATTTATGACTATCCGAAATTATGTTTTGTCCACATGTATTGCCTGTCTTCTCCCTCTAAAGTACAATTTGCATTAGAGTCAGGACCTTGTTGGGGAGCCAGTGATAACAATAACTTGTTATTTACTAGGTATCAATAACAACATGTTGAATGAATGAACGGGGTTTTGTCTCATGCTGAGATTACATGAGGAAAACCAAATTTTTGGCTTGTGATACCAAACTGGTGATTTGTTCATAATAATAAGTGTTTACTTAGTAAAAATTGGCAAAATTCCACGTGCATAGCTAATTAGTTTAAATGCTTTGTAGGTATTAATTTAATTCCTACAACCGTATGAAGTGGGAATTATTATTACTCCCATTTATAGATGCAAAAATTGTGGTACAGGGAAGTTAAGTAACTGGCACCAAATAGCAGTTTTGGATGCGGGTATTTGAGCCAATGCCCTTTACTATTGAGGAAAAAGTGCTCAATAAATAGAACTTTAACCATGTGCTCAACATATGTGCTCAGCTCAGTGACTCAGTGCATGCAAACTATGTGCTTAGTGCCTATGCACTGGGTCGTTTTCAGTCCTCACTTCAAAACTATGAGGTAAGTACTATCCTATGCTTGTTTTAGAGATGAGGAAGCCAAGGCTTGGATTTCTTCAGCAGCTTGCCTAAGGTCCCCTAGTTGCTTAGTGGTGAAAAAGAGATTTGAATATAGACAACACGACACTGAAATCTGTGTCTTAGGCCTTGTCTCCATATCACAAGAACACCTGTGGATAGCTACTAGAACACAGTTATTATGAGATTGTGAAAAAGGGATTACTCTCCCCCACTCAAGGGGTCTCCACTGGTATAAAGAAGAGGTATAATAATGACTATGGAACAGACCAACTCAGATAAATGAATAGGAGAAGCAGAATTTGTATCAGTGTAACCACTTGACTGTAAGGGATAATATTGTTTGCTAAATGTCCATTTCTTCAGAAAGAGCATAAGAACAGAATTTGGAAATCCAATAACTGAAAGGTCAATCTTGGTTTCTAAAATGAATCAGGAAAGAATTATATATATTTTTATATCTCACTAGGTATGATTATGTACATGAGCTATAATGCCATGTAGAAAGTTTAGCTATTGTTTTTTTGAAACCTACTCATGAAATTTTTTGTTGTTGTTTTATAACTCGAAGTACTTTCTTAGCAACTCAGTTCTATCAGTGGCAACACCATCAATAGGGATGAGAGGATGTTGTGGCTACATATTGTCTAATAATTCAGTTCCCTCCTCATAGGCAGACATATTACGACACATGCAAAATCAGAATACCCACAATCAGAGAGGGAAGAAAATTCCTAGAATCTATGCATTCTTGCTCTGGCTTCAGACAAAATGTGCATGTGAAGGATTACGCCTGCATATGCAGAGATCAAACCTTTTTCCTTTGGAAAAATCCCTAAACCCACTGAAACCAGCTGATTCAGCAAGAAGGAGTTCAGCCAATATTATTGAACTCTAGTATTCCAATATTTTCACAGAACTTTTTTGATGAGCTATGTACACAATCCTATGTGATCCTTTCTTCACCTATATTCTGATGCTCACATTTACCTAAATATGTGGGCAGTGTAGGTATTAATAAGCCACTTTACAGATGAAGAAATTGAGGTTAATAAGAGTTTAAAGAGCTTGCCCAAGGTCAGGCAGCTAATAAATAGCAGGGCCGGCACCTGAACCAAAGTCTCCGTGTTCCGAGTTACACACTTTTTCTGCGGCCCTCCCCCTTGTCAATGGAAACCTGTCAGTGGTGACATTATAAATTTTCTTGCTACCAGGTCAGTTGTGGGGGAGTAGAGCCAGGGGTGTAAGACGTCATATCTTTTACTTAGTGCTAATGTGCATGCCTGTCATTTCGTGGGTTCTTTTCCCTGTCTACTTAAAGTCTATATAAATGTAATGAGTAGTATTGTGGACCAGGACTAATATTATATGATTGTCAGCTTTTCAGATAACTTTTATTCTGTTTCCTCTAGAACCTCCTGGCAGCTTCTGATGCCCAAGGTGACAGAAACAGAAGGGGCTGGCAGTTCACAGCCACTCTTATTTCTCTTCTTAGTATCTGTGCGCTCTGGGATCTGGTGGAGATTTTATTTCTCAAACTCCTTGTCCTTTCCCCTGCTGTCCTTCTCACTGCTCCCACTTTTATTGTTTCTTCCAGGTTTTGAAAGAGTCGCAAATTTATCAAATGTAAATATTTACTCACTGGACCACCTATCTGTCAGGGAATGGAACTGACAGATAGGTGGTCCAGTGACTTTGGCTTAACTTGCCTCAGAACCACGGTTAATTTAAGAGATCTGGTGATTCAGCAAGAGGAAACCAGCTAGCCTCAGGCACTGAGGGAACGGGGTGCAGCCAGGCCAGCTCCGGCTGCTTGTTCTTTCTGAACTCGAAAGGCCATTGAGTGTTCTGCTAAAGCCCACCTGGCTAGTGCAGAGACCTGACCAGTAGAAGGCAGTCATTATTTACTTTTCATCTGATCAAAAATAATGCAGTTTACTCACAGGTCCTGGCCCTACAAACAGGTAGATGGTTGGATATATTTGGATAATGGAGCTTTCCAAACAGAAGCAAAACACTCACCCACTGATGTGTAAAATGTAAAGAAACTGACCCAGCGTGTCTTTTCACCGCAGATAGAAGAGTTTGGACCACCCAGCACACAAGGTCAGCATGCTGCTCCTCTGTCACACTCTGGCTATAGCTGTTGTCCAGATCATTATCTTCTCCGAAAGCTGGGCATTTGCCAAGAATATCAACTTCTATAATGTGAGGCCTCCTCTCGATCGTAAGTAGTGGTGGTTGCCATCCTAGTTCATGGCTGTGGGGTCACAGTGTTCATATGAAGCCTCCTTTTCCATTTATTGTAACCTCGTCTTTCCCAGAACGTTTGGTTTATACCTAGAATAAAACAGAAAGTTTTCATAACTTCCGTGGTTCATTATATGGTAAGAGTAATTTTCTCCATTTCTTTCTTTTTTCTTTTTTTTTTGAGATGAAGGCTCGCTCTGTCCCCTAGGCTGGAATGCAGTGGCGTGATCTCAGCTCACTGCAACCTCTGCCTCCTGGATTCAAATGATTCTCCTGCCTCAGCCTCCTGAGTAGCTGGGACTACAGGTGCATATCACCATGCCTGGCTAATTTTTTGTATTTTTAGTAGAGATGGGGTTTTACCTTGTTAGCCAGGATGGCCTTGATCTCTTGACCTCATGATCCATCTACCTCAGCCTCACAAAATGCTGGGATTATAGGCGTGAGCCACTGCACCTGGCTGAGAAATTTTCACCATTTCTTTAAAATGGTCTGTCTTCCTGCTGAAGTTTTAAAAGCATTCTTGTTTTTAAAAAAAGCTTTTGAACACCGTTCCTAATCATGGCATAGTAGAGGAAATTTATTGTTTTTTCTCTATGTCTTCACTGGAGAAGAAAATTGGCTGTTGAATGTTTCTGCATGATTTATTAATTCTTTCAAATGGCCAGGTTTGAAAACAGGTTTGTATGTTTGAAATTTGGAAGGAAATATCACCTGATTTTCTTTCTTTCTTTCTTTTTATTATACTTTAAGTTCTGGGGTACATGTGCAGACTGTGCAGAATTGTTACATAGGTATACACATGTCACGGTGGTTTGCTGCATCCATCCCCCCGTCATCTACATTAGGTATTTCTCTTAATGTTATCCCTCCCCAATCCCTGCTATCCCTCCCCTAACCCCTGCCTACCCACCAACAGGCCCCAGTGTATGATGTTCCCCTCCCTGTGTCCATGTGTTCTCATTGTTCAATACCCACTTATGGGTGAGAACATGCAGTGTTTGGTTTTCTGTTCTTGTGTCAATTTGCTGAGAATGATGGTTTCTAGCTTCATTCATGTCCCTGCAAAAAACATGAACTCATTCTTTTTTATGGCTGCATAGCATTCCATGGTATATATGTGCCACATTTTCTTTATTCAGTCTATCATTGATGGGCATTTGGTTGGGCATTATGCATTGCGGCACTGTTTACAATAGCAAAGACTTGGAACCAACCCAAATGCCATGTGTCTTTAGAAATGTCACCTGGATTTTCATTACTACCATGCATAACCCCATTAGCAAAGGTTACATAAGACTCAACTTTTCTACTAATAGTTTAAAGATAGGCAAATATTGGTGTATATCATCAACAGGATATGTATGTTAATACATTTTATGTACATATGTATAGATATGTGTTTGTATACATATGTCATCACCTCTCCTTTCTTTCCAGACAAGTAAAACTTCTTTGTTATACTTTATTAGAGAGTGATTCTTATAAATAAAAAATTTTTTGGTATACAGGTGAATGCCTGTAGTTCCCATACCTGGAAGAGTATCAGAATCATGATGAAAGGCTTTTTAACTGCATATCCCTAATCACTTCTCCAGAGATTTAATAGTCAAGAGGGTGATATGTAGAATATATTTATATCTTTTATCTTTTTTACCTGCTTTTTTTTGTTTAAGGAACTCTCTGATACTGTTGATACATAGTCAGGTATAAAAACCTTCTCTCCTTATACTACTCCTAGATGCGATCCCTATAACTACTGTTCTTTACATTGTGTTTTATTATTTGGGATGGTCATCTCTGTGTGCATACACATGTATACTACACACATGTACATATACATACATATACTACACATACGCACCTTGAACTACCATTATACATTACTAAATTGGTAATAATTATATACTGTTAGCTGAAAGACATGGCACAGACATCACTTTCATAGACTCTAACTTATCTACAAATTTTGAAATTTTTAAGCTTAGCACAATCTGTTGATGAGAAAAAATCATTTTAAAAAAGAAAAAAAGTAATACATGCTCATTATAGAAAATTCCAAAGAGACAGAAAATGATAGAAGAAAGTAAAATGTATTCACAACCTAAAGATTCACAGGAGCTTTTCTTTACATTTTGAAATATTTCCTTCCAGCATTTTTTTTCTATGTATGTGTAGTTAAATATGTGATATACTGAGATCTTACAATTTTAGTTTTACACTACTTTTCCCCTCTTTACACATATTTTGAATATTTCCCAATGTCTTTGAAGATAGTTTAATGCCTTCTGCATTTAAAAAATCATAAGGCTGGTCTGTAGCTTATTTCACTATTTCCCTACACTTTATATCAGAAAGAAAAAAAGTCACAAGCAAATTAAATGTTAAATAATTCTTCATTGAAAATATTTTAAAATACACTTTTCCCTTCAATTGGCTAATGACCTTAGAATAGATTTCCTGGAACTGGAATTGAATTACTAAATCAAAAAGATTGTGCCAATTTATAATTTAACCATTTACCTACCAGCACTGACTATTAGTATTTTTTAACTGTACTGATTTATTTGGTGAAAATGGATGTCATTATTTATTTATTTACCTGCTAATACACTTCTGAACATAAGCAAACTTAAATATATTCTTAATATTTAACTTCTTGTCCTCCAAACTTCAGCTTTTAATATTTTTCTTGTTTTGTGCTACCATACATATCCTCCCCTTTATCTGAAATACCCACTGCTTTCTGATTTTTCACCCGAACTTCTAGTTATATTACTAGGATGGTTACCATCTTTGTAATAGAACAAAGAGAATGAAACAGTTCCTTTGTCTGTTTCATTCTCTGAAAATGGGAGAATTGAAAGTTTTACACAGCATCCTATACCTGATCTATACAGAACTGTCAAATTATTTGATTTTTTTCTTCTTGTCCACTAAAATTACAAGATACAAGGCAAAAAAAAAAATCATAAAAACAAGAAGAACATACTAGTTGCTCTCAGTCCAGACTGCCAGCAACTCAGATATACCTCTTTCTGTAACAATCTGTCCTAATTGTAAGGGCTTAAGAATTACTGTCATCCTCATATTAAATGTTGTATTCCTGGCCAAGGTCTAACTTTGTGATAATTGTCATATGTCAGATGAGATGACTTGTTTGAGGTTAAAGGCAGCTGTAATGGAAGTGCATATGGACAGAAACCAGCATGATGTACTAGAGATTCTACAAAATATTTTTATTGCAACCTCCCATTTAATCCTCATTATACCTCTGCAAGTCATGGAGATCTTCATTGTTATTAATATAAATGTTATCATATCTTAGAATTAAAAAAAATCACACAACTATTCTGTGGGACGAACAGAATTCAAATTCAGGTTAATCTGACTCGAGTTCTTTTCAGGGATGACACATGTTCCAAATACCTCTGCCGCCCTGGATCACCTCTTCAACCCCTACTTATTCCCAAATTATAAATGATAATAGAACAATACTATGCATCTTTCAAAGCAGCTGTGAGATCACTTTTATTACTCTATAGTGGTAATTCTTAGAAAAAATATTTAAACAAAAGGGAATAAAGAAAATTCCCCAAAAGCCTGATGGATAAATCTAGCTCCCTAGAAACAGAGATTGTAAGGATAAAAGCTTACAAGTTTTGTTTCATCTGTTAAAAGTTGCTAATTTTGTGTCATATTCAATGTTTGAAATTTTTGTCTTCTGTAACTTACTGTTTCACTTTGCTTTTTTCTTTAAAGCTACACCATTTCCAAATAGCTTCAAGTGCTTTACTTGTGAAAATGCAGGGGATAATTATAACTGCAATCGATGGGCAGAAGACAAATGGTGTCCACAAAGTAAGTGTGCTGAGTTTGGAAGACTTCTGTGTTCTCATTTCATTTGGATCTCTCCTGACTTGACAATGTTCTTTAGGAATCAGATATTTTTTTTTTCTGAGACTATCCTGACATCAGACTATATTGAGAGTTCTTGGAAACTGGTATCAAAGCCTCAGTTTGAAGTTGAATGCCTTAAGGAAGAATTTCTTAAATGTTAGTTACCAGGGAGAGCACATAGAACCACAATATTGATTAAAGCATTCTCAGAATTTCAGAAATGCTTGATGATACCTCTAGAAAAGTAATACCATCTCAAAACAAAGTATAATTTCCATAGTCTTGAGATACATTGATATTTAGGAAACTCATTTTCATTTAACAAACTTCCAAGTATCTTTTTAGTTTGTTTAGTTTACTGATATATCCCAGTGCCTAATCCAGTGCCTGGCCCATGTTTACTCAGTAAATATTTGCTGACAGAATGAATGGAAACCTCTGATTAGATAGTCAGGATAGTCAGAGAAATATTCCCTGAGGAGTGTACCTTAGAACTAAGACCTGAGTAAACACAGCAAGCTGCCATCTATAGGAAGAAGATGCCAGGAAGAGGGAGTCGCAAATGCAGAGTTTTCAAGAGTGATAGTTGACTTGGCCTCTTCAATGAATAGGAAGGAGAGTGACTGCAGAGGCTTAGTGGGAGATGGAGGAAGGATGTGAGAGGGAAGCAGGGGCCAGGACACGCAGGAGCTTATTTTTTCGATAGTTTGGATTTTGTTGTAAAGGTGATGAGAAGGTGGTAGAGAGTTTTAAGCTAAGGAATACATAGCAGTTGTGTTCCAAAACATTACTCTGGCTGATGTGTGGAGAATGGAGGGTTGGGGACAAGAGTGGAAGGGAACCCAAATGAGGACTCTTGTCTTCAGACAGAAGATGAGAATTTGGACTAGGTTGGTAGGAGCAGAGGAGGTGGAGAGACGAATGATTGAATGTATACAGACTGGAAGTAAAGCAGACAGACTGTGCTGATGGATGATTTTAAATGTTAAAATCCTACTTATGAGGAGATCCGGTTGTTCAGATTCTAGGATATACTGTTTTTTAGGTTTTTCAGATATAAAAGACCAAGAAAAACAAACTGTTACAGAATTAGAGATAACTAGTTCTAATCTACTGTTATCATGAATCTTTTGGAAATTCCAATACCACATTATTTACAGCAGTGGCTCAGCCTTACCTCTTCCAGTTAAAGGCAACGTGTGGAGCCAATAAATACTACACACTGGAGACCTCTACTGTGCCCGAGATTCTTATGCCATAAATTAGCACAAATGGCTGTGACAGCCATAAGGACAGTGGTTTTTTTTTTTATTTTCAAGAATAATTAATTACCAAAATATGTTTTTCTTGAGATTCTTTTACATTTCTATTGAGGGATCATCCTTAAATTGCGAGTGCGCTTATGAGTGTATGTGTATGTATGATTGTGTTTATTTGGGGATTTATGTCTACATTTTCAAGAGAAATTTATCTTCGTTATTTCAAGGTTTTCAAGCTTTGTTGATGTTTCTCTTTACTAATTTATTTCAGAGAGTATCGTCCTTTAACAATTTGCTTTACGTTGCCTTGAAAACTGGGTGGCAAGAGTGAGAACAGTAGTAAACTGTGGGACTGATGTCCAACTTGTTAGGCCTTATCTTCATGAATCATGCTATTGTTCTGAATCGTGCCCAAACACTGTTCCTACTAGGCTTATGCCTAATGCTCCAATTTGTCGTTAGTTGACCAAAGCCATTTTAGCATGCAGGCAAAGAAGACGCATGGCTGTTTCTGGGTTTTAGGATTTCTTCTCTGTTGAAACATGGCTGAACCAAAGGAGAAACTGCAGCTTTCCACTACCAAGAAAACATCAGAGATGGGAAGGGTAGAAGAGAGTCAGCTTCGCCGCATCTACCTGAGAGGCTGATTCTTAATGGGCTCAATACAGAATGGCCCTGCATTCCAGCATGGCATGAAATGATGTTCTTGACTGTAGACAGGCAGGTCCCAAAGATACTAACCACCTGGAATTCTAATTGAGGGTGTAATTTCTTACTTTTCACTTTGTCATTTCGGGGAGTGATAGTCAACCATTTCTTGGGAAATATAGGCCTAGGGCTATTGTTCTTTGTCATCTCAGGTTTCCTTTTCACTTCACAGCTTCACTTCTGTGCCCTGTCGGTCTTGTTAAAAGCTCTCTGTGTGACAGGATATGACAAGAATGACATTTCTTGTTTTATTTACCTTGGCTTTTATGCTGACATTTTAGGGCTGCCTTAGCATATGTGCCATTCTGTAAGAACACATGCAGCTACCAGTTTTTGATTCTTCTTTGTTTGGAGTAAAAATTGAAATGTTTTCTCCCGAATTTTAGTGGCTCCCTTTCTTTCTGAATCTGGAAGTCACCTACTCTTGTAGGGCACTCTACATTATATCACTGTTTTAGTCCCTTTTTGCATTACTATAAACACCTGAGACTGAGTCATTTATGAAGGAAAGAGATTTAATTGGCTGACAGTTCCATAGGTTGTACAGGAAGCGTGATGCTGGCATCTCCTTGGCTTCTGGGGAGGGCTCAGGAAACTTACAATCGTGGCGGAAGACAAAGTGGAATGAGGCCCCTCACATGGTGGTTGCAGGAGTAAGAAAGAGAGGGAGGAGGTGCTACATAGTTTTAGACAAGCAGATCTCGTGAGATCTCACTATCACAAGAACAGCACTAAGAGGATGGTGTTAAACCATTCATGAAGGATCCACTCCCATGATTTAATCACCTCCCCTCTCCGACACTGGGGCTCACAATTTGTTATGAGATTTGGGTGGGGACGTAGATTCAAACTGTATCAATTGCCGAATGGTTTAATATTAAGTGTACTGAGGGGTGGAATAATGTTCTGGTTAAGAGTGCAAGCCCTAGAAAACCTCCTGGGTTTTCACTATTTTCTTTCTATGGGCAAGAAATTGTCCTCAGTTTACCTGTAAAATGAGGATTTTAATATAGCTTACTTTAAGACATGATGAGGATTGAATTCTTGAATATGAGTTAGAAGAAAGAGTACCTGGCTACTGGTGCCCACGCAATATAGGCTTGCTACTGTTCATATTATTTAAAGCACACAACAACCCTATCAAAGCATCAAGGTACTTATTATCTATCATCATTTTACTAAAAAAAAAAAATGAGCTCAGAATATCTAACATGACTTTCTCACCTGTGACAAAGGCAGTTCCATAAACCCAGCCTTCTCAACTTTCATCCAATTTTTCCCCCATTCTGTGACATTGCTGTTGTAATCTCTGATCAATAAACTAAGAAGCATTTCACTGTCCTCTGGTACCTATGAAAGAGACACAGAACCAAAGAAGAATGTCCTAGAACATTGAATGAAACTTCTTGAAAGAACCCAAAGTAATAAAATGTGAGTGGTTAAAGCCTTAAGGATAACTCTGGGTAGAAATGGGGTACTATAGTTATAATGAGAAGGAGGTGTGGTGGGTGGGAAACAGAGAAAGTAAGGGCTAACTAAAGAGGAGGAGAAAAAATGGAAATGCACTGATGAGAAAAGTCTAACATGTTGGTAGAATTAAAACCAGAATAGAAATTATTAGGTTGGTGCAAAATTAATTACAGGTTTTGCAATTTAATAGATGAGTGAGGAAGGTGATCATGATGTGTAATTCGAAGCATCTGCTTTTCACTCCAGCTCACCACATGGCCTATTAGTATATAAGAGAAAAATGATGAATAATGCAACAAGTGTCCTGACCCCATTGCATTTTACCTTCACAATTGTCATTTTATTTTAGATTCTGAGAACGAGCTTCAGGAGAAGAAAGAGAGAGCCAGAGACATAAATATTTTCATATCAAACGAACAGACCCATGTTTTGATAACGTGCTTGCAGTTTTTCATTAGCTCTGACACCACAGGATGAGTGCCCATTTACATTCATTTTCAAAACACACATGTGCTTCAGAAGCTGGTGTCTTTTCAAAAATACCACCTAAGAACCTTGAGAGTTCACTGCTATGAAATGTCTCACCCAGAAACCTCAGGACCATCCTGAATTTGAGTCCTTTCTACAATCGTCATTGAGAGGTCTCTTTTGTAATGTGGATAATGAAATTGCCTTTTGGTTTTTTTTGTTTGTTTGTTTCCTCTTGCCTAGATACACAGTACTGTTTGACAGTTCATCACTTCACCAGCCACGGAAGAAGCACATCCATCACCAAAAAGTGTGCTTCTAGAAGTGAATGTCATTTTGTCGGTTGCCACCACAGCCGAGATTCTGAACATACGGTAAGGATCGTGTGTGTGTGTGTGTGTGTGTGTGTGTGTGTGTGTGTGTGTTATTCTCTAAACATTCATGCTAGTAATGGTAAGCCATAGATCACGGGAGAGGCAGTAAGGAGAAGTAATATGTTGACCGTGTTTACATTTTGAGGAAAGACTCCATAACAAAGATAAAGTAGAGACAAAAGAACAGTTGAAGACTTTCTCTCCTTCAACAAAAAATAATGTTACTACAAACACATGGCATTTCCCAGACTCCAGAGCCAGACCTTAGACCTCAGACTGTGGATGAACGGTGTAAAGCCAACTCTGGTGTCACGAGAGCAAACCATTCACAAGAAAATGGTGACCCTTACAGGGTCCAGCTCACCTGCTCTGTTCGTGGCCAGGAGTCACCAAGAACGCTGCAAGGGTACCCTGGAAGGTGGCGAGAGGACTATGGTGACAGCATTTCTGAAGGGAACCTTGTGTTATCCACTGTCTGTGCTTAGATGAGGAAGGGAGTCTGAAGGATTAGCCTCAGTTTAATATGATGAACTATAGGTGCCTTTTAGATCAATTGATTGCTTTAACATTCTCATTCTATCATTCTAAACGAGCATTTCACTCCTTTATATGCCTGGAATTCCGAAATGCTTGAGAAAAAATTACTCGAAAGTATGTTCATTTCATGAGGTTTTAGAATTTGATTTACCCTGTAAGTACAGAAAATGATTATTTTATCAGTAGCTTTTAGCTCTAGCTACACGAGAATCACCTGGGTAACTTTTACAAGCTCTGCTTGTTATTGAGGGATGCAGGCCGGCAGGCTTTCCAGACCAGTTGAAACAGAACCTCAGAGTAGGGTCCTGGATGTCAGGATCTTTTTAAAAAGTTCCCTGAGGTGATTCTGATGTGCAGCCAGGGTTGAGAACCACTGATATGGATACCTAGAATTGATGCCTTTATCGTACCTAGCCATCCTGGAAGCCTCTACGAATGGCTGGGTTTATCAGGTTGAGGCATTGTACTTGGCACACTTTGGTATTACCTGAAAACATTCCCTGGAAACACCTGTTAAGGACAAGCCTTTTTTTTTTTCTTACACCACTCAGCAACCATAATTAGCAAACCACTGCTGCTTTAATGATAAGAATCAGGTGTCAGCATAGACAATAGAGAGTCATTATTATCCCCTAACAAGTAGCACTGAGAAAGAAAATCAATGACTAATTCAAAAGGTTCCTAGCTTTCGGTTTTGCCTCAGTGTTTTCCCTCACAAACCTTTAGAAGATTTGTGGACTCAATCAAACAGACTTATTCAGTTTCTCTTCCTCTTTGCCTTGCTAATGCTTGGGTTTGATGCGGAGAAATCACAGAAGACTCTCAGCATGGTTTTTCCCTTCCACTCCATTGGCATTGTTGGGGGAAGGGTACCCAAGAGCCTAGAGGATGCAAAATTGGATAATCAACTCCAATTGTCTGTCTTCAGATGGGGCTGAAGAAGCCTTTCTTTTATGTTCCTTTCTTTTGTCCCTTCCCTGTTCCTATTATTCACTGTCCGTTCCTCTCTCCTTTTTGTGACAGGAGTGTAGGTCTTGCTGTGAAGGAATGATCTGCAATGTAGAACTACCCACCAATCACACTAATGCAGTGTTTGCCGTCATGCACGCTCAGAGAACATCTGGCAGCAGTGCACCCACACCCTACCTTCCAGTGCTTGCTGGGGTCTTTGTGCTTCCATTGCTATGATGCCACCATTCCTAGGAGAGGCAGAGACCAGCCTCTAACGTGCAAGCCAAAAACTGTGCGAATGGTGAACTTTGGAGAGAAGATCAGCCTTGCACTTGGTGAAGAGTGCACATTGGACCCCAAGGCAAAAGCCAGTGGTTTTCTTTGCTAAAATGTTCCCACATGAGGCCACAGGATTGAGGATGGGAGTTTGGCGGGGCCTGAGAAGATGGTCTGACTTCCAGGCTTCCTGGTCAAAGGGAGCTAGAGGATCCTGGCAACTAGTCCCACCTGGCTAGGCCTTTAGCTGAAAGGATTTCTTGACCTCCTTGGCTCCCTCAGAGGCTGCCAGGTCAAACCCTCTTGTTTATGTGATTAGCTCAGAGCGTCTCTGTGAAATCTAACCCTCCCCATCACGAGCAAGCAATTTTCCCCACCAACAGCATAGTCAATGAGAAAGGCAACTGTACGAAGAAAACTTTCAGTTGAATGAGTATGAAATCTATTTGCTAATTGTGGGGGGAAATAAAGCTTCTAAATTATACAATGTAAACACATGCTTGTGTGTTTCTTGACCAATGTGGAGACCGCTGGTGAAACAGTTACCAGGGTTGTAAAGTATGTCACTGACATTTGTATCCATGCACCATTGGTGATATGTGTTAAACTGTAAAATACTATGCTAAAGTTACTTAGCTTTTTTTTCTTTTGGAGGAAGGATGCATTTTAAGATGCTAAAGCAAACTTAATGAATTGAGAATGTCTGGAAAACCTCCCTAACAAAGGAAGATGACACCTGGTCATATGATGCACCCTGAGCAGTAGTTACAAAAGCTCTAGTCAGACCAAGTGGCAAGGTGGTGGTGGTGGGGGGGTGCCCCTTTTCCTCCTTCAGCCATATTCTGTATGCATGCCATGTTTACCAAGAGAACTTCTGTAAACACATGCTAAAATGTTTGGTCCCATTCTCTTCTCTTTCCACTTATAATGCAATCTCAGAATTTCAAATGAGCATCTTCCTCCCTTTTCTAGAATTCTGATTTCCTGCCTTCAGTCACACTTCAAGATGACCTTTAAACACTCTGCCCTTGTATTTATAGTGATGAGTTAATGGAATGGGGTTTTCTCTTAATTAAATATCCATTATTAGAATGTTGGGTGCCCTGTAGACTCTATTAATGAGGCTATACTTGCCACATAGGCTCACCTGTGACATGAGTTGGCAAATTATGGCCCAGAGGCCAAATACATTCCACCACCCATTTTTGTGAATAAGTTTTTATTAAAACACAGCCATAGCCACTTGTTTATGTATTGTGTCTACTTTTGTGCTACAATGGCAGGGTTGCAGAGATGCAGCAGAGACTGTACAGTCTTCAAAGTCTAAAAGCTTTACCATCTTACCCTTTTCAGGAAGTTTGCTGACCCCTAACCTGTGGGATGTCAAGACTGCTTAAGGAGAAAGCTGCTTTATTTGCAGGGACCATGGTGCTAATCATGGTTACTCAGCCTGAGCAATGGTTTGCCAGATCACTTCCCTTGTTTTCTTTGTCTTCTGAGTCAGTGAATTTTTCTTCTGTTTTGATTGTTTCATGTAGTTGATTCCATCTTAGTAGTTATGTACTGATGTCAGGGGCTGAGCTGTGTTTATGTTTCTTCTCATTCTTGACGCACAGGGAGCATTTCATCTTAAGGCTCTTTAGCGTCCTATCAAACAGGGAGGGAGCAGACATCATTACCTCCCTGTCTATGGCCCAAACTTGGACTCACCTGGAAGCACGGGTTTTGAAGCCTAATGTAAATTTATCCCATCTTTCACTCAGCACCTTGAAGTATTTGCGTTTTCATAGCTTATACTTGTTTGAAATTAATTATATATGGCTTCACTTGGAAATTTTAACAGCATCTTTGGCATCTTTTTATTCCCCAGGGTTTCTTTTGACTGTGTAATTGACAAATTGTCTGGTAGAAAACCATTAGCAGACAGCACTTTTTTCCCCCTGATTTTGTTTCTGCTGTACAGATTAATGAGTTTCTTTTGTGCGTGTTTTTTTTCTTTCCTGAGGAAGTATCTTAATTTTCTCTTCTTCACCCTGAACATCAAGTTCATATGGGTTTCCTGTCTCACCTCCACTCTCTTAAGCTTTTAAAATTGAGGTATGTTGAGCAAAGGAGGGAGTGCAGAGGAAACAAACTCCTGGCAAAGGCAGCTGAGTGAACAGGGGGTTAGAAATAAAAATATAGGATGCTCCATCAGATTTGAATTTCAGATAAAATTAAATAATTTTTTGTGTAAGTTATTCATGAAATCACAGGACTAGCTCATCTAAGGAAATGGTTTCAAATCCTTGTAATAAATCCGAATCTTCTGAGTAACTCCAAAACAAAGCAGATTCCCAGGGCATTCTGGAGATATTGATTCAGTAGCTCTGAGATGAAACTCAAGCCTACCCCCCATATCTGAAAGTTAAATTTAAACAAACAAAAGCTCTCAGGTGATTATAATGCTCCTCCAGGTGTTACCTCTGACGCGAGAGGATCATTCCTTCTTCTGAAGCCTGGTCCTTGGCCACATAATAGATATGCTAATGAGTAACAAACTCATGCCAAGCAACCTCAGTTGCAGGCATGGCTCTAAAAGTGTGGCCCCACTGCAGCAACATCAGCATCACCTGGTAACTTGTTAGAAATGCAAATGTCAGACTCCACCTCAGACCTATTCAATCAGAAACTCTGCTGGTTCAACCTGTTACTTAACAAGGCCTCCAGGTGCTTCTGATGCATGTGCAAGTTTAAGAAGCCCTGGACCAGATAGAAGTCCTCCCTAAACGTCTTCAGTAAATGTGTCCCTGGTATCTGCATGATCGCTTGGGGGAGCTTGTAAAAAAATAAAAGAAAATCAGGCTCCTGGACCCCCACTTCACAAAGCAGATTCTTTATGTCTGCATTGAGTCAAAAAAATGTGTAGTTTTAAAAAGAATTCCTCAAGTGATTCAGAAACACAGCCACTTTGGGAGCCACCAAAGGAAAGAATAAAAGATGGAGGCGATGTTAATGATCAGAAGGCCCAGACTCCAACACCTGTCCTTTGAGTTCTCACCTGAAAGCCCTATGCACTTTAAGTTGAATCTGTAGTATCTTCAATGTAATTTAAAAGTTAGAATGCAAAAAATAAATTCAATCATTAGAGTCCATTGCGTAGATGTTTAAAGTCCATTGCATAGGGGCCTGGAATGGCCAACATCCCAGGTCTCAGATATTTAATTTGCCTCTAGTGAGTAAAAAAATGAGACATACTTTGGAGTCAAAATGTCAATGAGATTTGTAGTAGGGGAGTGAGGAAAGAAGGGGAACATGTAGATTTGTTAGTATAAAAGAGACAAGGGGATTAGCTATGAATATGAGGAGGATCTGAGGGGATGACCTGTCAAAGGTCCACTTTGAATAGATCTACATTCTACAATAAACTTGGAATTCCATCCATCAATCATTCTTTGAAAAAAAAAAAAGTTACCTAACACCTTTTCCCCACCCATGTGTAAACTCTCCCTAAATTCAACTCTGAGTGAAAGCAGTCAGCAATTAATGGCATTACTTTCCATACAATCTGCATTCTGTCATGTCAATCACTGGGTAAAATATATTTCATAAGAAAAAGAAAGAAGGTGAAAGTGGGTTGGTTTGTCTTTCTCACTGGGAAGGAACTTATAAAGCCATACAAAGGATGAAATGAGGGCACGCGTGGACTTGGAAGGTGAGATGTGGCACGGAATCGGGAAAATATGTTTTACATTTGTGAAATGATCCTTAGGTGAAGCTTTTGTGACATATAGATCACCTGCTACAAAGTTTGCTATGACCTTCGGATCTTGGACATTTTATTTTTTGCCTCATTCTGTGTTGTCAACTCTAGGATTTGTAGAGGGTTACATGGTGATGTTGGTTGTGTCTGGGTGCAAATCATGCCAGAAGACAAAGGCTCACAAGTGCACAAAGGGAAAAGTCCAAGAAACTGAAAAAACAATTGTGATTTGAGTCCTCCTTTAGGCACAGTTCCCCTCCAGTGTATCTGAAACAGCCCAGCATCTTTCTATTACTCTTCCCACTCTCCTTTTATCCTCACAATTTTATCTCCTGCCCAGTCCCCTTCAGTCCTTGCCTTGGCTTCTATTTCATCATATGCTGAGACTGGAAGCTGAGTTGTCTTCAGGGTGAGCCAGAGTTGAGATCATCATGGTTAGGGCCGTGAAAAATAGGGCTTCTGCAGCTCAATGCCAGAAATACTATTTAGTAGGTCTGGGAATCTTCATTTTTAACAAGGATCTGATTCTGATATTGGTGATCCTCATCCTGGTAGTCTTACGGTATTATTTTTTATAAAAAATAACCCAGGCTCTCAGCATAAGGCCGTAGAGCTCTGTGTGGAGAGCTTACAGCCTTCTAAACCACCACACAAGGACTTTTTAGTTCTTGAAAATTGGTTCCAGCTAAGGGGCTGGGAACATGTGGAGGACACTGGATTGACAGAGCTGCCACGTTGAGAGTGGCCCTGTGTTGCCTAGGACGAATGGGCGCTCAGGGAAGGGATTCTAGGGTCCTTCCAGGCAAGCAGGATGTCAAGGGTTCTGAGCACTGACTGGAGTCCCTGGGTATCATAGCTGAGTGTGGCAGTAAGAACCCATGCAAAGCATAGGTCAAGGTGAGCCCATCCACAGGGCCTAAGCACAGACTCAAAACCAGTTCCAATGCAAGTATTTTCCAAAAGAGGACACGCAACATGGGGCACTTGGGTCTTGAAGATAAACTCTGATTAGGTTTTTGAGGATCCTCAGTTAGGGAGGGCATCTTTTATAGAATACTGTATCCACCAGATAACTTCAACTATAAATAACGGAGGGTCCCAAATTGGCATAAATGAATTTCTTGGCTTACATCACTGGAGGTTCAGAGAGAAAGAGACAGAGAGGGCTTCAAGGTGCTTAGTCCAGTGGTTCTAGCCCCATCCTGTGCTGTTCTATTGGTTCTCGCTTCCCTCATATCCTTTGGTAACTAGATGGCTATAGCTGTGAAATATTGCCCACCCAGTGCCCAGGGAAACAGGCAGGGGGATGCTTCTGGAAGCTCTCCAAGAAGAGGTCTAAAGGCCTTTACCCAGCTTTCCAGCAAATCACAAGCCAGAAAGCTGTGGTCACCCTTGGCTTAGTTCAGCTAAAGGAAGCTCAGTGTCTCCACCGCATGTGTGGTTCACGGTGGAGGCTAGAGATCTGAACAAAGCAGAAATGAGAAAGGAGTCAGGGAGAAATGCATCTAGATAAGCAGCCAGAATTATATACTACAGATTCCCACAATGTGAGGCTGTGTGGTGAGGCTATTGCTAAAGTGGCTGAGGCAATGCTATCAAGTCAGAGATAAGAGAGGGAGCCTTTGCCTCTGAGAGTTGTATGGACTTGCCCAAAGCACATAGCTAGTGACAAACAGACACAGATGGAGAAGCTCCCATGCTTGCTGTAATTCCCACTGTGCTCTCTTTAGATTAATGTACATTGTAATTCT